TATTTGGTACAGGGTCTCACTACACAGCTCGGGCTCACAGTGATCCTCCTGTTTTCAGCCTCCCCAGTGGCTGGGATGACTGGTGTGCACCACTGTGCTTGGTCTTGGTGGCCAGCTCAGCGTGACCAGGGCATGGCTGGCATGGCATATGGTGCTTGGGTTCAAACCCTGGTCCCTGTGCTTCCCTAAGCAAGTGCTTAGTCTGCTGAGCTATCTTGCTGGCCCAACAATTTTTAAGGAAATGGGACATTGTTATTAGCTAGTGGTACCATGTTGTACAGTGGGTATTCTGATCTTACTCCTCCTTGCTAACAGAAATTTTGTATCCTCCAACAAACATCTTCTCAAACCCCATTACCCTCCCTTTCTTTGTGCTTCATTTTCTTTTCATTCTTATTTCAGGATGATGAAAACAGCTCTAAAAAAATCCCAAGTCTTCAACTTTCCACAAAGCTATGTTCTCCTCCTTCAGCCTGCAGCTGGATTGGGCCACCTGGACGGAATCTTGTAGGAGGAATAAGAAGAACATAAGTTGTAAGCAAGACACTGGCCAAATAAGTACCCTGAAGTTTCTAGGGAAGCTTTTGGCCAGGGCCTCCACTACTGTTTTTTCTTCACAACTTGGCCTTCTTCAATCAAGCCAGCGAAATGTTTAAGACAACATTTGGGCAGTGCTAAATTTGCATTACTTTTTACTGTCACAGCCCCTGCACTACCCACATGCAGGACAAGAAGCATTTACCTTTACTTTCTTTGATTGTCTGAAAGAGTGCACTAACTACACATTTTTTTCCAGGTCAAAAATAAAAGCAATTCAAAAATGGAAGTGGCAAAAATATTTTCTGGCAGCACCGGGGAGCAGGCTGTTTAGATTGTCCTCATTTTAAATGCATGGGAACTAAAGGAGATTTGGGGCAGCTCAGGAGATGTGGCTGTGTCCCGAGGAAATGGTGGACTTCCTCTCTGTGGCTCAGTGGCTGGTGCACAGGGAAGTGCTCAAGCCGAGAAGAGGTGGCACAGCCTCTTCCTGCAGCCAGAAGGCCAGCCGCACCCTTTCCTTTGGCTTTGTCACCAACATGGCTTGGCCACAATGAAGTCACACATTACCGACAGCCCCAATCGCAGCCCTTGCTGGACGCAAACACTAAAAGAGAACAGAACTTGCCTTCTGGGGTGTCAATCCCATCTGTGTGTGATGAAATATGTTACAGGCTGGGGCAAGGACACAAGAAGTGTTTGCATTCATGAGTGCACGTGTGTTAAAACATGTCTGCGGAAAGAGGAGCCCACGCTTTTCTGTAAGATAACATTATTTGATGTGACTGTTGAACTACCCTAAAAGGAAGCAAACTGGGGCCCTCAGAGGGCCTGCCTCTTGTCGTATTTTGCCTGAGCATGTGCAAAGCCTGCCTTCACTCCAAACTGAAGAACTACCTTTCATTTGCTATTAACTGACAAGAAGGGTCAAGCACAAGTCAGCGTTACAGCTTTTCACTGTACAGACATTTTGTTGACTGCGATCTTAAGTGAATTTGTCTTTGGGAAAGGTGGATATAGGGTGCAAAGGACGGAGAAAAGTCGTCACTTAACTGATGGACAGGAGAGGAGTCCATCCCTCCAAGGAGCTGCCTGTCGCGCCTGCTTTCTTCCGGACAATGCTCAGCAATACTAGAAATGGATACAATCAGAAGCTTTTGAGCCTAAGTGGTGAGATTTTATAACTCACACTTAGATCTCTTCTAAAGTGTAAGCCATACTCTACATGCATATTTAGTATGCATCATTGTAATTTAAGATACCTTTGTGTGTGGGCTACCTAGAATGCTTTTAAATGTTCTGTGAATATGGTCCTTAGCTTTAGCTTCCTCTGAATCTTGTGCAGAAATCAGCTAACTAACAGAATTATATCATAGAGATGACAATGCAATCGATATTTTAAATGTAAGTAGTCATGGTTTATCTATAATAAAATGCTGGGGGAAAGTTTATAGAAATGCACATCACGGTGACTTTTTGTCCTTTAAAAATAGACTTTTTATTTCTATTTATGGATAAAGTGTAACTATTGCTCTTAAAGTCTTTCTTAATGAGCTACTTACCTACCACGCAGAAAACACTCTGAATTTAAAATGGAATACGATTGTCTGGGAACTATAATGCTATGGTTCCTACTTGAGCCAGAGGGAGGAATACATTGCAACACTACTTCTCAAAAGGCGTTGAAGATATCCACTTTATTCCTCTTCATTCTCTATACTGTGTTATAAAAAATGGAGGAATAGAAAGAGTTGAACCAATTTCTGTGGTTGGGCTTTAGCCGAGTTTTCAGGGTCGTGTGACTCACGAAGCCCTGCAGCAGCCCTAGCAGAAAGAGTAGGGAAGACTAGCATCCAATCAGCACCTGGCCTTCTGGGAGTACTTGCCTTTCGCTGCTCTCCTCCCCTCCCCATCCCTCTCCACTTTTTCCTCCTAATTTTCCATATTTCTCCCTCCTTCGCCCTCTCTGCAAACAGCAGTGATGGGGCGCTGGCGGAAAAGGGACGGAGTTGGCACCAGCAGAAGCTACATCCTTCCCTCTCGCTCGCCAGCCTGGCGTCCCCTCTGCCAGGAGGCCTGAGGAGTCAGGCTGCTGTCCCTGGAGCGCCCTGCTCTGCATTCGTGCTCCCAGCTAGTCGACTTGTCCAGCCTGCAAGGCCGTGCGCCTTTCATTTAACCAGAGCCTCATTAATTTAATTTTTAACTTGATGATCTACAATTCTTGTGTTTTATTATGCTGTCATTCTGTATTTCCTATTGTATATGATTGCCAAATAAATCATAGTTGATGGACAATATCATCGTACATTCAGTGTTTGATGTAATTAAATAGGGCAGGACCGTGAAAAATTGGGGGAAACCGGAAGTAGATCAAATGAAAAAATTGATGTTTTACCAAAAGGTGATTTTTACTTACTAAGGAAATATTCATCAAACATTCATTATTGAACAATTATGTGTTAACTCCTAGCTAGAAGCAAAGTGTGCGTGGAAATATGAAAGTTGGACTCTTTTCTATAGAAATTTCAGGTTTTATAGAGGAGACAGTCTATTCCTACTGTACTTCATGCCTCATAGCTAAGATGCCACATATAAAAATAAGCACAAATAAAACACACGTGTGTATATTTCCATCTACAAAGCTCCCAAAAGGATTGAAAGTAGGTGGCACATCAGCTGACACTTAGAAGATGAGATAGATGAGGAAGATTTAAATAAAATATTGTTGCAAAAATAATCCACTGGCATTCATTCTCTTCAAAACATTCGTCCTCACACCAAGCACACTTAGTCCATCATTTCTTGTCACTTTCTAAAGCAGTAATGGAAATCCTCACTTGTGAATGCTTTTATGAAATGTAATCAGAAATTTGGTGAATACTGCCATCAGTCATTCAGCCAAAGGTAGGCTTGTAAAAACATGATAGTGTGTGCTCATCCACCCATGCACCAGATCTGATACCACAGGACTTCTAGCCCTCCCTCTGTGGCTACATGGCCACTTAGAATCAGCTCAGAAAGGCAGCAATGACAATGCAACTAAAGACATTCACAAAAGGATTTCTAAAACCACTTCAGAAAGTTGTGAAGAAGGATGGGACAGTGTGTTTGAAGCAAAGGATATTGTGAGGGTCTTACTACTGTAAATGACAACATGTCTTTTATCTTAATAAACTTTTAAATTTAAATATTCACCCTATATTTCAGTAAGACATCATAAACAATACCAAAATCTTATAATCATTCTTTGTTTTCCATATCTTGTCTCCACACAAATTCTTAATGAATATTATCTGTCACCTTTACCATAATTCAGCAAATAATAAAGAAAACCAGGTCTTAGAGAAAGAACGACTCTTGTCCGAGGCCATCCAGGTTTTCCATGTTGGGATGCGCGGTAGCTTAGTGCTAGGTCTCTCTGGTTCCAAAGGTCATGTTTTCTTTTCACTGAATACATGTGGGGTAGGCCTGAAGCACAAAATAGAAAATACTAAAAAAAAAAAAAAAGGCAATGTGAATAAGGGAGCAGTAGAGACGAATGAAGAGGCAAAGGTGTCAAGTCAGAGTGAACATTTAGCACAGATCCATTAAATGAACTGAGAAGGACTGGTGCACTGTGGGTTTCCTTCATGATTCCAGATGACTTGAGGGGAAACGTAAGAGCTGATCTACTGGTCAGATGCATGACAACTGTATTTCTTTTTACTACAAATGGGATTACAGCACAAGTGTCCATGTACTACCAAAAAGCTTTTCTTAAAGGCCCAATTTTTATTTAGAAATACAATTCCTGTATAAGAACACGTATTTCCCATATTCAGTGTTCTCAGCTATTCTTAGTTACTTTTTCAAAATACTTCAAGCTTATCTGTCATGTAGTACAGTCTCGAAAAAGATAATGTATTTTAGTCAAAATATGCATCTGGTAACATTCTGCATTATATGCTTTTGTAGAGAATTCACAGTAACTTCTATTCCTTCACATTTGATACATTTTTCTTTCAGATATTTAAGGATTATAATTAGTGATTTAGTTTTCTTAATTTGTTACAGTCTCACTGCAGCATTGTGTCATTTTCACATTGTGCCTTTTACTTCCGATAATGACTTGAGGCAGGATCATTCCCATCTATGATGAAGACATGTAGCAAAGGAGCCAAGGTAATTTGGGTAAGTGTATCCAACAAATAATTTGAAGAGGCTAGATAGGAAATTCAAGGAAATCTGACTCAGAAAAAATAAGCAGCGCTCTCTCTGGCCCAAAGAAGATGACTGTCTCCTCCTCACTTCCCACTCTATCCATTACCATCTTCTTCTCCTCTGGGTTCTATTTGGCAGAATTTACAGTGAGCAACAGCGGATTGATTTTAATTGGATTTAGTAACCAATTAAACCAAGAGTCACTGTGGAGCATTGCTACTCAAAGCAGGGTCCCCACCTAAAACCTCTTAGAAGTGATCTCAACTCCATTTGTACCTACAAAACTAGAATTTGTATTTTGCATCAATATTAGATACTGCAAAAAGTAATTAAATAGTAAACAGATTGTGCTAAACACCTAGCAAAGGTGAGGAGCATAGCTGAGGGTTAGTGGGCTTTGCTTAGCATGTGCTGGCCCTTAGTTCCATCTCCAGCAGTGCAAACATAAAAATAAACTTCTATGAAGCATTTCTATGTGAGATAGTCTTTCTGCAAATTGGAGGTGCTGAACAAGTGCCTTTGACACCTGTGTGCTCCCCCAGAAAAATCAACACACACCATAAGGTGGAAGTAGGTCCAGGCTTGGGATTCCTTAATGGGCTCTGCATATCTGTATTAAGGAAGTATGGGGGCCAGAGATTTAGCTCAAAGCCACAGTGCCTACCTAGCAAGCATGAGGTCCTGAGTTCAATTCCTGGTACTGTAAAAAACTCAAATGTGGTTCATTTTATGCATAATTAGAAGCAGACCTGTGAGGGCTTGGAATAACAACAAAACTTCACCAGTGGATTCAACAAAAGGCATTTTCTTTTCCTTTTTTTTTGTAGAACCAGGGATTGAATTCAGGCCCTTGAGCTTGACAGGGAAGTATTTATTCTACTGAACCATCTCTCTGGCCCCCAGGCATTCTGTTTTCATTGGCTTATGTACTTTGAATTTTGTAGTGTGGACAGTGCAATTTTACTTACATAAGTGACAAGTACAACATTGAAAGACAGTTGAATGTGTTTTATTCTTGTCTGCCAGCTTTTTTTGTAAACCTAGGAATTTAGAAGACATGATGAAGATAGGTGCAGGGGAGGGAGCTGGAAGCGAGGGCAGTGAACCTGAGAAGCAATGCCAGTTTAAGGCTTTACCTTTGCCCACACTGAGAGGAGAGGGTTCTTGCTCAGCATAGAAGCAGCAAGAGACCTGAGCTAGGGAAACAAAACACAAAGGAAAAGTAGAAAGCAGGGCCCTGGGGTTGGTGCACAGAAGGCCCAAGGAGCAGGGTGTGTTTGCAGCAGAGCATGAGCAGGCGAGAAGTTGGGGTGCCCAGTCCACATTCTGTTCTTTAACACCACAGGGCGGGGCTTGGAAGAGAAGAAGACTAAGCTGAGATAGGAGCTGAGAGGCCCCCGAGGGCCCAAGCATGTGCGTAAAGAACAGTACATGGGCTGAGTCTAATTTATTGGCTCACAAAAGTAACAAGGACTTGGGTGAGTGAGTTTGGCAGGCAAATTCTTCCGCATGGAGTCTGTCTGCTTATCCCATATATTCCATTACTGTATTATTTTCTGTCTTTCTGAGGGTTGCACTTTTGATCCATCATAGGCTAAGCAAGACCACAATTGCCTCATCTCTGTGCATGCGTGTGTGTGTGTGTGTGTGTGTGTGTGTGTGTGTGTTGTGTAGGACTTCCCACACTGAGAAGGCTGCAGCACACATGGATTTCTCATAGCCTTCCCCTGACCTGAAGGACCTTGATATTTTTCTAAATGAGTGCTCCACAGGTTGCCTGGGAGAAGACATGAAGCTAAGAGACCACAGTGTCACTCCATGAGCCACAACTTTGACAAACTTCTAGAGGATGGATAATGGCAACCCTCAAATAATAATGCATCCAAACAAACACAGCTGAGCAAACACCCAGGAAGAAAAATTTAACACTAGGAAAATTCACACCTAGTAAAAATTTGTACAAAGAGCCAGAATTTATTTTTTCTAAATCAAGCTCTTTTTTTTTCCTTGTGGTACTTTCTTATAAATTATATTTCACAGAGTATTTAATGAATCTCTTCTCCTATGCTAGGCATAGTGGTGCATACTTATAATCCCAGCATTTGGGAGGCTGAAGTTGAAGGATTCTAAGTTCAAATCTTGACTGAGCAACTCAGCGAGTCCTTGTCTCAACATAAAAACATAGAAAGGACTGGGGAAGTGGTTCAGTGGAAGATCCTGGGTCCAGTCCCCAGTACAAAAAAACAAAAACAAAACAAAACAAAACAAAACAAAACAGAACAAAACAAAAAACCTAGAAAACTAAATCAAAACCACAACTCTTTCTCTAAAGAAAAAAAGCAAAACAATCATTTTCTTCAAAAATCTTTGACTTTGCGTTAAGAAAGGTTAAAAGAAGATTCTTCTTATTTCAATTTTATTTTGATCAACCATTGTGTCATTTCTAAATTATTAACAAATGTAGAAATAAATATGTCCATTTTCTTATGTTCTTATCCTGAAAGACATTAAATTGAAGTCCATTTTTGAAAACCAGGGGGCTGCAGAGATAGCTCAGTGGCATAAGTGCCTGCCTGGCAAGCATGAGGTCCTGAGTTTGATCCCCAGTAACAAAATCAATTAAATAAATTAATAAATTAATGAATGAAATCAGTTTTTTGTGGGTCATACATGAATTCTCGTGAACAAGTGAAAAAATTGATACCTATGTAGGAGGTTCTTCTTGTGCCCCAGCATCAGTTAATTTTACCTTAGTTTGTGAATATACAGATGTTAGAGACTGAATGTACACTATTGAGTAGTTTCAGATTAAATGTTAAATTAGGGGATTCATGCTGGGTATCCTGACGCACACCCTGAATCTCAGCACTCTGGGAGGCTTCAAATTCCAAACTCCTGGGTTAGAACACCTGCTCCACTAATTAAAATCACAGTTTCTTCCCAACTGAACCAAACAACACCCATAATTCTATGATCATTTTTGTATTTGTCTGGTTATAAAACTAAGTAACAATGGATACAATCCCTTTGTTTTAAGCCATTTCGAATGCTTTGTTAGAGCCTGTAGGCGTGCCTGAGCATTGCTGGAAGGCATAGG